CAGCATATAACATGCTACTTCAGTGTCTTATGCTGCATTTCGGCATTCCATCGTGCAGTATACTCACTGTCTGTCACCAGTTCTGATGACACTTGTGCCTAATCCTTTGTTTATCATAAACAATGTACAGTGAGCAACCTTGCTTATCTATCTATGCATTTGTGCAGTAACATCTACAGGACAAATTCTTAGAAGTGGAGCTCCTGGGTCATAATGTCTGTGCATGTCAGATTTTGATACTGTTCAATTTCTCTCCATTGAGGATGTACCAAAATAGTCATGACATTTTGCTGTCCAGATACTGGACTACTTTGCTTCTAGTACCCACATGGGCTTTTCATTGTCAAAAAGCACTTCAGGTCACATCATGACATAGCACTCCTGTCCTTTTGCTCCCTTCCCTCAATCCTTTACTTCAAGAAAGAATGAACATTCTTGAATGTAAATGTGGTGGTACCCACCTGTAATCCCAGCTACTCAGGAGATGGAGGTAGGGGGATTGTGGTCTAAGGCTGGACCAGGCAAAAGCTTAAGACCTGATCTGAAAAACAAACTAAACCCAGCTGGGATGTGGCTGAAGTGGTAGAGTACTTGCCTAGCAAGTGTGAGGATCCGGGTTCCATTCCTAGCATTGAAAAATAAATACCCTTTTAAAGACAGTGTTCTTGGACATTTTGACATAACTTTTCTTGGGTATAATCATTATCAAAAAGGCTGTTTGATGAATGTGTTATGAGAAATGTAACTGTGCTTTAGATGGATTAGAGTGGGGAAAATTAATGAGTTTTCTAAGAACACACCTGACATATTCCTTCATAGCCAGAGCTTGGGTGGTTATGCAGCACATGTGTTTGGGTCACCTGAATGTCCTTCATGGCCCAGTGTCTGTGTGAGATCTACATTACCACTCCACAGTGATCAGACCATGTTCACTGTTCTGACTCTGCCAAGGCCTATAGAACATCTGGTGGTTCTTCCAAGTCCTAGGTGAGGATTAAATTCGTATTCAATGAAAGAAGGAAAAATCTTTTTTGTTTAGTGGTACTGAGTGAATACTTGGTTTATCAAAAACATGACCCATTCAAATGCTAATAAATTGCAATTTTGTGTTTAGAACATATTTAAAAAGGCAAGTATTGCCATTCCATTATAAGTGAATTCTTGGCTGCTAAGACAACAGGGAGTAGGACAATTTTAAGTAGGAGAGCAAACTTAGTTTAAAAAAAACAACAAAAACCTGTTGAGCTTCAAATCAAAATTAGAACAAGTAATCTTCACATCACTTTCAGTCGTCACACTTGATTTTCTTCAACCAATAGAATTTTTCCTAGGATTAAACACATTGGAATATTTTTACCATTTCAGAGTATGGAAAATTTGATGTCCTCCTAAGCCAACATCTGCATACTATACTCAACTTTACAATATACCTGAGGGATGGTGTTTATAGTTTTATTATGGGGACAGCCATGACCATAGCCAAATTCAAGATACAATGAACATTTCACACCTCCCAAACTAACATTCCTGAGGAGGTGGAAATAGTTTAAAATACACCCCCCGCCACATGTTTAGGTAAGTTGCTGACCGTCCGTCAGCACAGTCAGTATAAAGCTGAAGCTAAAATCTACTCTACTAGACCCTAGTTCATCCTTACCAAGGCTCTTTTTCTTAGAAGCTCTATAAAAAGGGGAGACTTTATAAAATATGTACCTAACAAAGCATGTCAGCAGCTTGAATGAAGCAAGCCAGTCCAGATCCGAGAATTCTAATAAATAAATGAGTTGAGCATTTATTGCCAACAATCATGTCACTGGGGCCACAGAAAACTGGAGCCGTGCAGCTGGGGAGGGAGGAGTCTGTGGCCAGAGAAGGCAATGGAACGCGCCCAGGTTTAATTATTTACGGTGTGCTGATGAAGAGCCAGCTTTCCATATGAGGAACAGCTTAACAGAGGAATAGTCAGACTAAACTAGGAAGAGGTCCAGAGAGAGTGTGTAACAAAAAGGGACATGAATAAAAATGACAGGTAATAAAACAATACAAATTTAAAATGCTGTAACTTTCAGAAATAATTTAAGGCTGAAAGAAAAGGAAAAAAAAATAAAAACCAACCCTAGTGTTTCTGGCTTTGGGACAATTTTCCAAGAAGCAAAAGACATAAAGCAAAAGAAAAGTACTGAACTGAAGACCAAATTTGTCTCAATGCCTTCCTGGCTACAAGTTTGGTTGCTTCTAATGCTGGTTTATTCATAAAATGCCAAGAGGTAATTGTGCATTTAGCTGACGCATCCATGTTTTGCCCCCATCGAATGTCTACTGTGCAGTATTCCATGTGAGGGATTGATTGGCTCCTCCAGGTTATGTTCTGAACAAAGGTACAGTCTCTGCCCTCAAAAGGCTTGTGGTCTAGTGTGGAAGAAAGCCCACTGTCAGCATCTGGACAGGGTCTGAGTGCTATGACAACCGTTAGACCAGGATGTAGTGGGAGGGCAGTCACAGGGAAGAACTGCTACCCTGGGACCTTAGGAATGCAAGTCCCAGAGTGAAGCCTGGAACAAAAATCATACTGATTTAATGATACCTAACAAACCTCCAGGCACTCTAAACCACAGCTTTGCTTATTTAAAAATGGAAATGTACTTTTTAACACAAAAAAGATTCAAATTTCTGTGATTATCAGTAGAGTTTTCTTCCTTGCAAACTGTACTTAAGGTCTACTGAGCCATTTTTAATTATCTGTATATGGTATAACCACATCTTCTTCCAAATCTGGCTAAAAGCCTAATAAATACCAGCATGCTACATATTTTATTTGTGTCTCACAGACTTTTCACAACAATGCCTTCTCATCTTGTAGGGGGAATGGAGCCCTACAAAGGGCATGGGGAAGAAGTATGAGAGCACTGTAGCCTACCCCGCATGGCTTTTGGGTTAAGTATACAGGTTGGGACTGTGCCAATAGCACTTCTACACCCAAAGAAGGTTCTGAGTACCCCAGTTACCTTAACTAGATTACTCCCGCTTATTTTCTTGCTCCTCCCTCCCCCCCAAAAGAACTCCTCTTCCTACCACTCTCACTGAGGCAGTACTGATGTTAAGGGCCAAAACCCACTTATGTTGGGTGGGGCTGTTCCCACCGTCACACAGAAGAATGTTTCTAAACATTAAGAACTGTAACAAACACAGTAATCCAAATAAACCTATGCACACAGGCATCCAGTGAAGACCTCTGCACTCTAAGTCTTCTTTCCTAAAAAGAGTTTTAAGGTGATCATTGACCCTCCATACTTTCCTTTCCTATCCCTCACACCACAAGTCAGTACCTTACTACTTGACTACATAGTTAGGTCCACTGCTCTGAAATGCATTCTAGAAGGGGATCCAGCCAGAGCACTTTATCACGAACTAGCTGTATCTTCTGCTTTCGCTCTTTCCCCATTCCCAAGTCACCATTTTTTTTCAGAGACTATCTATGCTCTTGATCTATGAATACGTGGTTAAACCCACAGGTTGTCTCCACAACCCATAGGATGTCAGACTTTCCATTACCTGCTGGGTGGATACATCCTGTCCCCACACCTTGGCCTCCCTACATACCAGCTTCACTTCTCTCTCCTTGGTCAACTGGTCAGTAGTTCTGTAATACTACTTCATACCTGAGGACAAGCAGTCTATGAATTATTTTATAGTCTGAATTTAAGTTTTGTGATCTGAATTCAAAGAAGTATTCTTGGTAGACATAATTTTATAATGTCTTTTAAGAATAATCTTTCAAAAAACAAACTAGCAACTGCACTGAGTGGTACACTATTTCGTTATTAACCCAAAGTATCTAAAAATACCAACTGATATGATCTCTTTGAAGCTGTAAAGTATGTGATTGATAAACCATGGCAAAAATCCTTCAGAGAATTCCAAACCAACCCTCTTTTTCTTAAATTTAGAAAACTATATGCAAGAAAGGCAAAGATTGAATTTTTTTCTTTCTGCACTATTTCAGCCACATTGTGCCTATGCACACTTGCTTTTTAAGTAGACATTAAAAAAGATGACCTAGGACCCACTACCTTAATCATGAACTAATCACATCTTTTTGCCTGCCCATCCCCAAGTCTCTATTCCTTTAGTTTTTCCTGTGTTGGGTAACTTGCTTCAGCACAGACAAATGTTAGGCAAACAGGGCCTGCTGCATGTAAGTGCTCTCATCTAAAGGCAGCGATTTTAAGGGGATGTGTGCTCAAACTCCCTCCACCACAAGAAAAATGATTTTGCAGCCAGGATAGCCAGAAACTTCAAATGGCAACTTTTCTGATTCAAGCTAATTTCCCAGGAATTTAAGAGGCAATCATTTACTCCTGACTTTCAAAGAGAACCTGGGCTTGAAAGGCGTAGTTGTATCTAAAATTGATCAGCTAGCGACAGCCCTCTGAAGTTACTTGGGAGTGAGAGAGAGAAGTTGAGCCTCTTACACATCTGGACTAGACCAGGTTGTAAATTATCTGGTCCCGAAGACTTCTCAAAAATAACTTTTTACCAAGAAAGTAGATATTTTATTAGCTGAAGTACTAAACTTTTCTATTATTTTGATATGGAACACCATAGCTACAAGACTTGCCAACAACTAATCATCATGGTAATATGCATTTAAGACAGAATCTAAGTCTTAAAAGTATGAATTTTAAGCTATTGTAGATGAAATGTTATTAACAAGACTGCTGTGTAGCATACGCAAATAAACCAGAGATTTTAATGCATATCAACATTTACCATCTAGTTTGATACTGTGGTTATGACTGAAATGGAATTGTCACTTGGAAATTTTTCACATTTGTTGGTCTGTGTAAGCAGTAAACATCTGAACAAAAGGACATACACACACACTTGCTCTGAAAACTATATTTGAAGAAAAACCTATAATCCTCTATATTTCAAGTCCCCAAATTTTGACCTTTTTACTTATTCTGAAATAAAGACTAAAAGAGTCAGTACATGGGATTTTAAAATGAGACTGCATATAATTAGAAAAATATGAACCCACAGTGTATATTTTATTTCTTAAGAAAATAAACCTATATACAAAAAACACTTCTGTTTACTGAGGTTGATCCTAACTTATTTGATTCTTCTAGAAGTACCACATAAAACTCAACACTGCAATAGAAAGGTGCCAATAACACTCTCTTTAGCCCTAGTTTGCCTCAGGCTCTCATTTTTCAGCATCCGGAGAAAGTTCAATGACTCCCTGGTTAGAGACCGCACTTAAAACAGTCCACAGCCTGGAAGGGTCCTCACAGTTATGCCGGCATCCCCAGTGCAGGAGCAGTTCCTCCTTCCTCCCCAGTGTCTGGGTGCAGAGGAGGCAGTTGAAGCCTAAATGGGACCAGAGGTGAAGGGTGCGGGGGCTGGCACAGTCCAGGCCCTGGGGCTCACTTTTTCCCTGCTGGCCCCCTTCATTGTGCATGGACTGCTCCACACCACCCTTCTGGTGATGAAGGCAGAACTGCCTTTTGAGTCTCGGAAGTGTGCAAGATGTGTCCTCAGCTGTGTAAGGCCTCACCTGCTTTCTTCTCTCTGGGTGCGGTTTCCAGTCAGGAGCAGTATGTTTAACTAATGTTTCCTGAGCAATTCTGCTGCCTGGCAAGATTCCTTCTTGTAGCCTTCCCTGAATTTCCTCTCCATGAACACAAAGCAAATGAAACTTTATTTCGGCAAAAGAATGAGTGGTGATATGACAGCGGCCACATTTGATTTGTAATTTGACCTCGTCTGCCTGGTTTAGAAGGAAATCTTCTTCCAAGCTTGACTTGTTTTCCCTGAAGAAGGCAAAAAAATACTCTGCATGAGATTTGATGGAAAAGCGACTGGAGTTTTATGTCTCAGCTTTTTGCCTTCAGGGCTCTGAAGACACCCACTAGAATTACAAAGGCTGGGTGCCCAGAGAGAGCCTGGGCAGAATCTCAGCAGAAAACACAGTGAACACCAACCCTCACTTCCTATGGGCATGCACGTTCCTCAGTCTGCCAGTGTCCATTTAGGAAGAATGTCTCTGCATCTTCCCTAGGTGAGCTGAGCTATCTCTCTGGTTTCTACAGGACCAGTTGCAGTTAACACAGAAGTCAGGTAATAACATGCAAGGTGCTATGGAAGGTGACTGTCCCACACACCTGCTGTTGCACTCCCTAGTTTTGAGCACCCAACGCAGTTTGGACATTTTACCTAACATCAAACTCTAACTACAGGAAAACAAGAAGGAAGGGAGGCCTCCTCATACATTAGTGGGGACAGGGAACAGAAAGAATGAGAGAAACTATAGAAAGGCAAAGAAGAAAGGCACTCTTTATTTTTACTGATGACTGAGTAAACCAAAATCGAACGGACAGAAAATATTTAAGGCAATTGGGACAAAAAAATAACAAGGGACAGAGAATCTAAAGTGTTGGGAAAGGTTTACTTCTTGTGGTGCTAATGAGAAATCATTTCAGTGAAATGCCATTTCAGTCACTGTAGGAGAAAGTGGATATACATGGCTCACACCGAGGGTGTTTCCCTGGTTTATTACTGCTCTAACACCTGCCTGCCAGGCTCCCGATTATGTAGCTTATTTGTTTATGATGTTAGGAAGCAGTGCTTGCAGGAAAAAGTTAATCTGGCCTGATGGAAAAAATAGGGTACCTATAGAGGGATAGATCTGGACCTTTCAGGATACAGTCAATGATGTAGACCTCTGAGAGTCCCCACCACAGGTCACACTGTGCCACAGGGCAGATGATGCTGTTTAGATATAAATTCTGTGAACATGAACTTGGGGGAGATTACTGGTAAAGACTACTAGTAACTATATATAATTTACCATTTATTCACAATTCACATTTTCATTTAAAAAATCATATAATTTCATCCAGTTGTCCCAAGAACACCTGAAACCAGCATTCATGCCCTGGCTTACAGGTTAGAGTAATTAAATATTACAACTGATCAGAAACCAAAGAGAAATGAGGTCATTCTTAACAGACTCAAAGGAGTAGGGAGCTATGTATGAAATCTTAATCTATGTTTTTTTTAAACAAACTTTTCTAAATGTGAAATTGTACCCTCTTCCCCAGACCACAATAGACTTTCTTGCCAGGCTTCCACTCAAATGAGCACTCACCTCTCCAGTGATCCCTCCATCCCTTGGACACTAGTTTCTCTGTCCCTCTTCTTTGGCATGTCCCCTGGCTGTGGGTCATTGGAGGAGGGTTCAGTGCTGATCACAACTCTGTGTACTTCTTTTAGATGGCCAAAATAGACTCGGACATGACCAAACACTTTTGCACAAAACTCACAGCACATGAGTTTCCTGAGACGGTTCTCACTGTGGTGAAGTTTCATGTGTGTGCTCAGGCTGCCAGGACGTACATAGGCCTTGCGACAAATGCGACAACTGTAAGGCCTCCTATTGGTGTGCGTGTTCATGTGGTCTCTTAGGTGTTGTTTGAACTGGAAATGGTGGTTACAGACATGACATCTATGCCAAGGCTTCTTAATGCCAGAGAATCCACTTTTGAACCCAGAGATGGATTTAGGAGACAGGCTGTCATTCTGCTTATAGCTGAGATATTTAGGAGTGAATGAACTATTTAAGAAGATCTCCTGTCGTAGGCTGCTGGGTGTCTGGGATTGCAGTGCAGCTGAAGGAGAAGTCAGGGGGACTGCAGCAGACATGACAATGGTAGGTTTGGGCATAATGCTACGATACTTTCTCATAGCCCCAGGCTTTTGGTCTCTGGATTCTTGAGGATCATTTTTTATTCTTTCTTTACCATCTCTGCACTTATTAATAAGGCATTTCTTCCTTTTTCCTTGAAATGCCAAAATTTCATCTGGTACCTTTCGTTTCCTTACTCTTCTCTTTGTTGCTCCACCATTCAGTTTTGTTTTGTGGTTGAGATCTGGTTTGGTGACTGGACAAAAGATACTCTCACAAAGACGCTGCTTTGGTATCTGTTGGACAGGTACCTTGCTGGCCATTTTGGCAGCCGCCTGGAAGCCTTCTGTGATTGGGCATCTCCTATCACAGTCTGTTCCATATCCAGGTACAGAAAAATCTGCAATATAAGCATCTGATTCAATTTTGCAAACTTCTGTCATTTTCATTCTGGAGTAGGGTAAGACTGGCAGTTTACCTTTGGGGGCTGAACAGATCATCTGGACTGAAATGGCTGGTGATAAACTGGTTACGGCCTTTGCGTGACTAACCTGCTCTTCAAGTTTTTCACTGGCAGCAGCAGCAGCAGCAGGATTCCTGGGTGGTTCCCTGCTTAGAAAGTTTGCTTTCCCAGGTATCTTTGAGATGCTCTGCATGGCAGAGAGCTCCTCCAGAGTGGATGATGCTGGGGTGGCAGGAGTGCTCAGATCTCCATGGCTGTTTGTCACTGGAGGTTCTGAGTCCCTGTGGCCACCACTACTGGTTGGTGGAGGTGTGCTGATGCTACTGCCTGGGGCTTGGTCTAGGGATGGTGCTTGCTTGAGTAGAGTGGGTTTGGTTAGGAGTTCAAGGTAGGCAGGTGGAAAAGGGGACATCTGAGGACACACCTGGGCTGGGGCAGGAATTTTGCTACAGCCCCTTTCAGGGGAGTTTAGGCTGGGTTTCTTTCTTGGTCCTTTGTTATTTCTTAGGGGCTGATATCGAGGAATAGGCAGCTTAAGGTTTTCAGGTGGGGACATTCTGGGTTTCTGAATTGACTGAGCTGAGGCAACATTTGGCAAAGCGACAAGAGAAAATGTCCCCTCCTGGCCAGCCACCTGCATCAGAACATAGTTCTGGGTGGGCATCCCCATCCCCAGGGTCTTGGAGGTTAGGGAGGGTCCCAGACTTCCCCGATCAGAGAGTGATGGTGAAGGACATGGCAGCATTCTGGAAGTTAGAACTTTGGGCACAATTTTTGGTGCAATGGTCCTAAACTGACTCTTACTCTGCAAATTTTTCCCACTTTGTATTGTTCCAGAAGGGATGCTTGATTCACCTGCAATGGCAATACAATATAAAAGTTACTACAGTGTAACTGTCCTGCTACTGAGAGTTCAAGTAACCATACTATTTCTTCTGCCCAGAAGAGATTCCTTGGCCTACTCACTACCCTTGTGAGCAAATGCCTGCCTGTTTCTCGTAATAATTTATGTATTTATGTGTGTCTCTGCCACTAAGCTAGGACTCCGTCCTTCTCATCCTTGGATCCTGCAAGTTTACCCTCTGCATTTACTAGATTCTCACTCGCATTCACAAGTCAGGACAACTCCACCTCCTTTCCCAATCTCCTGAGATTCTGCTGTGCATCTTATTTATTTTATATATATGCCCAGCTTCCTTATACTGAAGCTTTATGAGGGTGAAAACTATGTTAAATTCATCTTGATATTACTCACTGTACCTCTGCTATGGAACAAATGCTTCTTGTATCAAACACATTTTTCTCTCTGTTTCAGGATATACTGTTTGACCCACTGGCAGTGCAGTTTGTTTTGCACTGTGGATGAATTCCAGACTGAATGCTAGCTTTGTTGCTATTTTCCCATATGACTTGTGAATTTCTTCTCACACCTTTCAAACTGTTTATGTGTGCTTTTGCAATGAAATCACCAGTACTAAAAAAGCTGATATGATACCTTTAAAAATATTGAACAAAACCAAAAAGATGCAAAGTGATAAGACAGAAAGATGAAATAAAAAATATATGAATAACACAAAAAACACCTTCTAAATACTAAGAGAAGCAATTTTAAGTGATAGAATAACATTTCATTCACCCCAGATTTATTAGCCTGACCAAAGACCAATTACTACAACCTTAAGAGAACAATTAAAGAAATATTTCAGTACTCTGCTTCTAAGGACTGAATCGTCTATTTTATTCCCTGAGGCCTCAAGATCACAAGGCCTGGCTTTGGAGAGGTTTCTCATTTCTAAGTGCCTCATATTAATCAACTTCAATTCACATTTACTAGGTACCTACACTATTCTAGGAGTTGCCTATTGCAAGCCCACAATCTCTTTTCTGAAACTTGTATAGCCACATGTGTGGAATTTATACCTTTAAATTTTAGAAAAGTGTTAAGAGGCATATATACCAAATGTTATGTAACACCCAGCAAAATCTGTAGGGTGCCCATAATTAAACTTACTGCCACTTCTATAGCAAAACATGTGAGTATTAATGACAGTGAGACAAATACACATTTTAAACTATCTGACCGCAGTTCAATTTTTGCCTCTGAATGAGTTTAGTTCTCACTTTTGATAAGATTTTCTGTTTTCAGATTTTAAAGTTGTATACAAAGGATTGTTTTGTGGATATTGAAGATATGATGGTAGGCAGTTGGCAATCTAGTGAAATGGACAAAAATTTAAAATTTCCATGTGTGATGGAACACACAGGTAATTCCAGCACTTGAGAAGCTGAAGCAGGAGGATTGGGAGAAGAGTTCAAGGCCAGCCTGGACTACGTAACAACTCACTGTCTCAAAACAACAAAGAAACAAATGAAATTTAAGATCAACCTTGATTTGAATGCCTTATGGCTAGCTAGTAGTTTTACCAGGAAGAAGGCTGGCAGGGTAGCTCAAGTGGTAGAGTGCCTGTCTAGCAAGTGTGAGGCTCAGAGTTCAAACCCTAGTATCCCCCCATAAGTCTTACCAGAACACACCAGATAAAGAAGAAGCCTGGTAGAAGTAAGTTGAAAAGTATATTGATCAACTTACTTTAACAAGTTACTTTAGGGTTTGGTGAAGAAAAAGGATGTTGAGAAACATTTTCATGGTAGACTGATTAGAATTAACACTAGTGCTGTGGTCTGGAAAAACCAGACAGGATAATTGTATCATCTGTCATCTTCTTTCTCGATTTGGTCACTATGAAACTCCTGGCAAACTGGCTAGTCAATCATTTCCAAACAGTTACCTGAATGGATAGCTATATTTGTTTCTTCCTCCTATATGATTTAAATGTTTAAGTTCTACTTTTATAACCTTTCATTTTAAGCCACATCTTCTCATTCTTTTAGAAGAAATAATGAAGTTGTAAACAAATATTTAAAGCAGGATGGAGAGCGAATTTGTAGACACCGAAAATTACTGATAGCTTTGGTTACCTAGAGATGCCTAATTAAAAACACTAATAATGATAATGGTCTTTGCATTCACATAGCAGATTCAGGGTAGGGAAGAGGGAGAAGAGGAAACATTGGGTTGTTTATATCCAGCCTTATTCCTAAATGATTGAGCAGAAAATATTTAAAGTGAGAGGAGCTAGTAGAAAGGCTAGTTTGTCCTCAGTCTTAAGTCCTCTTGAAACATGTGATAATAATGTATCACAGCACAAGGCATACCACTTTGCCTGCTCATAAATGACTGTCCCAGGCTCTTCATTTCAGAATGAAAGCCAAAGTCCTGCCATGGCCTAAGAGGCATGCACTGGGCTCCTGGAGGGCTCTCGACTCATTTCTTCTACGTGTTCCCCTCCAGCAAGTGGCATTTTTGATGTTCTTTAAACGCGCCAGACATTTGTACCTGTTGTCCCCAGGGCCCAAAGCACTCTTCCCTTGATTAAGTCCCAGTATGTGCTGCATCATTTCCTTACAGGTTTTACTCAAACGCCTCTTCCCAGTATACTCTTTTCTCACTATTCCAACTGTACTCCCATTCTAAACTCTTGCTATGGTTTGGAAGTGGTTTCCAAGGGTCCTTGTGTTGGAAGTGTGGTTCAAGGAGGAAGGTTAGGAATCTTTTAACAGGTGGGGCCTGCTGGGTACCAGTGGTTCACAACTGTAATCCTAGCTACTCAGCAGGCAGAAATCAGGAGGATCATGGTTCAAAGCCAGCCTGGGCAAACAGTTCCACGTGACCCTATCTTGAAAAACCCTTCACACAGAAAAAAAAAAAAATAGGGCTCATGCAGTGGTTCAAGGTGAAGGCCCTGAGTTCAAGCCCCACTACCACACAAAGAGAGAAAGAAAGAAAGAAAGAGGTGGGGCCTAGTGGGAGGTTCTAAGGGGGGGGGGGCGGTATGACCTCTGAGGGGACCAAGGTATTTCATGGGACTCTGATTAGTTCTCATGAGAGGATTGTTACAAAAGCCCATGCCTGGCCCCACTCAGCCTGTCTTGGCCTATGCTGTTTCGATTTTCAGTCTCAGAAACTGTGAGCTAAATAAACCTCTTTTTCTTTATGAGCAGCCTTTCTCAGGTATTTCATTATAGTAATGAAATACAGATTAATACAACTCCCTGCTCCCTTTTTCCTGTCTTCTGGAACACTTGTTTCATTTAACATATTACATTTACAATCTGCCTTTACTTGCTGGAATGAATTCCTTGAAGGCAAGAAATTTGTGTTATTAGGGCCTACAACAGTATCCAGCATGTGGCAGGAATCAGTAAATAGTTTTTGAATTTGTTAAGTGATGATAAAGCGACCAATAAAAGAAATAAGAACTTACAAATTGAGACTAGGAAGTTTTCTAAAACAAACAAACAAATAAAAAAGGAATGGAAGGAAATAATTCAAAATTGACCTTTAACATTTCAAAATTTGAAAATTAAAAAGGAAAGAGAGGACATATCTCTGGAACATTGTTTTTCAATTTAACTCCATTCACAGACAGAATAAGGAAATAAGCTGGCACCATAATAAAAATCCTATACAACAAAGGGGAGAGGAGATACAAGCTGAAGAACCACCAGAGGTAATGATAAAAAGGAACACTAAATTATGCTGGTGGGGTATAAGCCAAAAGAAAACAGACATACTTTGAGGGAAGAGTTGGGGACTAGAGTGAAGACAGGAAGAACAGCAAGACACAGACAAACTGAACCCCAGAGGAGGAACATGGCAATGTCAATGTGAAGAAGTGCAGAAGTCACAGGGAAGAAGACACAGCTGAGGCAACAACTGCTGCAAGGTTACTCAAGGTCTTTAAAGACTTAAGTTGGGAAGGGGCTTCCTACTTTTTTTATGACCAAGCAGAAGAAAGTGACCTTCTAACAGTTATGATTTTCAGACATGAAACTAGGTATATTTCATTGAACCATACCACAGGGGAGTGAGCTGATTATGATACAGTTAAAGTTAATGTGCTTTGACTGAGAACAATGACATTCAAAGGAAAAGGAGGCCAACCATGGATGACAGCAAAGGATGCTCCCCATTCCCAAGAGTAATTATCTCTGCCCCAGCAAGGGAGAACCCTGATCAACAGAGTAAGCCAAATAGGCAGCCTGAAATGACAGAGCCCTAGATGACAGGAGGGTCATCAATCATAAGCTGAGCACTCTCTGTGGGAGAAAGATTTTGCCTTGTTGGGTAATCTAACCTATGTGTGCTTGTCTAGATCTAGCACGCAGTTCTATCAGGTGAGGTTCTCTATGCAGGTGCTGTTGCGTCTCATTTCCCAGGATCGTTAAGGATAGGGAATGAAACTTCTGAATTAGTAGAAATGAAAGGTAGGAGAAAAAGAGCAAGACCACAAAAGTAGAAGAAAAAAGAGCAAACCATAGGGATTACTTAAATGTTTATCAATAGGGTGCTAATAAAACAATCATCTAATCATATAATGTAATACAGCAGTGAAAAAGAAGCATGAATTAGACTTATATGGAATATTCCCCAACATTCCATATATAGTACAATATTGCTTGGATTAGAAGCTGGGGAGATGCACACACAAATGTATTCCTGTATATGTACAGAATAGTTCTGAAAGGAAACAAGAGACCAGTGTTAGAGGAGGCCCTTGTGGGGAACTAAGAAGCCTGGTATGAGACAGGTGCTTCTTTTTTACTGAATGTCAGCTGTGCCTGGTTCACAGGAGGTGCTTGCAAATGTTTACTGAATGAATGAAAGGAAAACGAAAGTTGGCCTATTTGAATCAGTTTCTAAAGGTGTTGTCTTCTGGGATGTTCATAATGAGTGTGTCTAGCATAGAGACTTGGTCTAGATATATAGTTAGAATGGCTCATGTCCTTTATTTTCCCTGACTACTTAATAGCAAGAATTGCTAATAACCAGGAAAGTAATCTAGTAATCTGACAGGTGGTGCATAACTGCTTCCTAAGGTCAGGCACTGAGAAGGATGAGAATTCATTACCTTCCAAGGACAAGTGGAGTCCTGAGAATTGTTTCTCGAAACATTGGCCTCTGTAGGATGAAAGAAGGCAATCTGCAATAAAGTTCAGTTATGCTAGAATAACTATGTTTTTTTTAAAGGAGTTTGAACAATAGGAGTCCTCAGAGAAGATGAAAGTACCATTGAGTTTTTAAAAACTCTACAATACTGAGGAAATATGATTGCAGTAAGTCTTTCTTGGCAGTATAGCAACAACAGTGGTTTATTCTACTACACATTTACAAGGCCTTCCACAGATGGTGTGATCTAAAATCCCTCACCTGCACCTACTAAATTACAGATCTTCTAGAGCTGTGCACTAAATAATGAGAAGAAATTTCCACTGACATTCATAATTTCTGGCAATCTTGCAAAATTACCCATAACAGAGTTAAAGAGACTCACAGGACTCTCAGGTACTAAACGCGGACTTTTATTAACTGAAAACATAAAAGACTCACTCAGTAAAAATCATTTTGCAAAATTATTCAAAGAAAATACTTAACATTAAATTTCTAAATGTGGGGCTGTTTTTAATATCTTAAGCATATTAAAGTTACTATTTTGATAATTGACATTTACAGTTGATGAGAAATTGATCTAATTGTGGAGTAAAAAGAAACTGGGAGGTGCTGAGTACTTATTATGATATAGAATCTGATAGGTCTTTTAATTGATACCTCACCCAAACTCTGTAAGGAAGTATTATTGTTCTATTTTTTAAAGATTAAGAAAAATGAGGCTTGAAGAAATTAAGTAAGGAGTAAAGTCCATACATCCACTCTGTTTCATTTCAATTTGAAGCAATGACATTCTTCTCCTTCATTCTCCTGTCAAAGGGGAAACTTGTATACAAAGCAGTCCTGATTAATCTCAAACTCTGTTATTTCTGAATTTTAAGGTGAAAAAATTAAAATAGAAATGGCCTGTCATATCCAAAAATTTCTATTACCATCAAAGGATTTTCTTTCAAAAAGCCCAGATATTAGAATGAACTAACGGGAAATTAAATTATTTGAAAGTTAAAGCTGATTTTTAGAGTTGAATTTGCCATTTACTATCAATAGGATTCTGACAAACCCAGAAAGGACTTTCCTGACATTTTTTTAAAGGATATGCAACGTGTATCCTTCTTCCCTTCTTTTATCACCAAAAGACCAGATCTGATGGTCAATGTCTACATGTTAGCAGCAGAGAAGAAGAACAAGGGTTCAAAGGCCCTAGATACCAATGTCTAAGCCAGTTTTATCAAACTCTTTCACAGCATAGCTGACGTAGTGAAGAGGCAAGTACACAAGGCAATTCTCTAGACAGCTAGAACCAACTTGGTTCTATTGGCAGAACCAAGGCCTGCTTTGTTGCTTCTAAACAAAGTTGTTTCCCCTCATCTTGCCCTTGGTTTGGGTAAAGTTCCATTATTCCATCTGCTGGAGCCGCTGATCCACTGCTAGTCATGTCAGGAGGGAGCAGGCAGAGAGAGAACAGCCCCCACTCTTGAAACAGGCCCTTGGGATCCAGGCTCAGAATGAAAGTGCAGTCAAATCAACCAATAAAGAGTCAAAGTTTTTAGGTTTCATTAAACTGAAAACCTTACATTTTATTTGTTGGCATTCTTGTTTTCCTTCTCACTTGGCTTTCAAATAAAAAAATTCAGTTAGGGTTCAAATAAACATGTGAAAACCCTGAAGAAGTATAGAATAAAAGAAATGTCTCATAACCACAAGGGACCTGAACTTAATTTTGTTGAAAACTACAAATGCTTACCTTCTCTCCTAGCTGCTGTCCACATCTGCAGCAGCAGGCAAAAGCAAGAAGAATTTATAGAGCATTGACCATGCAGCACAAACTGTAAAATGTGCTGGCAATTGCACAAGTGTCCTTTGTTTTGAAGGACTCTGGATGCCAAGTATCATTTTAGTTTCGTACCTACAGCACTAAGACCTGCTGGAGTCATAGCTCAGACCCAAATTTCAGGAAATTTGAGGCAATACAAAGGAAGCAAGCACATTTCCAATTGGAAATCTTGTATCCTGAGTATCCTGCTGAATTCTGCTCTTAGCTAGCTCCTTCCCTTCCCTTGACAGCATGCCTAACCAGCAGGTACTCCTTTCAGGGCTGTTTTGCCAGTGAGTTCATCGCCTCCATTAGTAAGAAAGGAGTTCTCATGTTCTGAGTAGGTTACTTTTTTTTTTTTTAATCAATACTGTTTCTTAAAAAGTACTCCAATGATAAGTAATACTTTACGTTGTCAGGTACTACAGCAAATACTTTGCATGCATTATTTCCTTTGATCCATAAAATAAGCTGAGTCAGGATTTACTGTCATGTCCATTTTACAGATAAAGATTTCCAAGCTGGGAAGCAACAGTGCTGGAACTCAGATCCTGGCAGCTCACTTTCACAGGCTCTTTCCACCTCCTCATACACACGTAAGTTACTGTGGCTACCTTGCACAGTCATAGCCACCTTCACAGCCTTTAGGAAAACAAGGTAGATGTGTGGGTTGTGACAGATTCAGTGTCAATGCAATGCCTGCCTCTGTCATGCACACGTGGCTTCCGAAAGTTGCTCTCTGTGCCTACATGTTGTCACCTATGAAATGGGCAAACAGTATCTGGCTACAAAGGTCACATCAGGATTAAACGAGAAAAATATCCATGAAGGTGCCAGGACAGTTGCCACCATGTTACATGCTCAGCAGACATTAGATTTGTACTTTCTCTTGTCAGTAAGTATGAGGTTCCTGTCATTTATTTTCAGTGGGGGAAAAAAGGGTGCACAACTGGAATGCCTATCTCATGGCTCTGAGTCTTTAAGCCAGTGTTTCTTTTTTTTGAACAATAAATGAAGGAAAGGGAGAAAATGGTTATTAACTGCTAATAAAGATCCTAGCAAAAGTGTACTATTTTTCTCTTTTGCCCCTCTGATGACATGTCTTTGGTAGCTCAACTATCCCTACCATCTGATCCAGTCTGTCATGAACAACTGCTGTTGTCCCCCACCCCTGGTGAGCCAGTTGACTAAATGTTAATTGGATTAACAATTCAGTGAAAACAGGAGTTAACTTGTGCATTTTACAGAAGTGTTTTATGGGGACACTCATGGTTTTTGTTTACACACAGCAGAGAGGCCAATTTTTGCTCTTAAACCTACTAGGGAAGAAAACAACCAACCTAGCAGGTATTCAAAGAGAGGGGGAAAGCCAAGTTTCAGTGGTCCTGTGAGAGAGGGATGTGAGGCGGGGCTGGTAACACAGGCTACATCTCTGGAGGACAGTGGGAGCACTGGGTAAATGATTTCTCAATTCAGGAACAGAAATACATGGGCTTGCACAGTGCACAGAGGCACTTCAAAAACAGAGTTTTGAAGACACTTATTTGTGGATTTAGAATTTTGCTGAATAAATCATTAAGAAGTAAGTTTACAGTGGCAACAAAGATAGCATGAGTATAGAAAGAAAAGTTGGGCACCAAAAGAACTACAGTGAATAAAACTAAGTAAATTAGATATGCAAATTCATCATGGAGCAAGAGGAAACATTCTGTGTGGAAGAATTTAAAAGCCAATTACCTTAAATATTAATGGCAATAAAAGAAAAAACCCACAATGTGGTTTGTTACATTCACTTAACTAATTATTCTTTGGAGGACATATACTTAATGCCTCAAGTGAAAAGTAAATTTAAAAAGCTTTATCTTTTAAAATACATTTTAATAATTCTCAATTTCAATGATTTTCTAGATTTTCTTTTATCTTAGTTAAGCTCTTTTATTAGTTTTTCTTTTTTTTTTTTAACTTCAAGTGCTTTTGATAAAAACAGTTGAAAACATAGAAAAACACTTTTTTGTTTTTAATTGAAGTTGTTTATCCTTGGGCACAAATAATTTGTAGCATTCACAGAATTTTATTCATTATTACACAACAGTGAAGTCAGAATCTTTATCCAAATCTAAGAATAGTGTAAGAACTGAATAACATAACAATTTAACAAGAGCTAATAAAGACACTAAGCAAGGCAGAGAGAAACTTCTGAAGTGCTTGAATCCCATTCTCTCAAAATGCTTCCATGGTTAACACAATTGGAATTGTTCAGTCACTCGAGTCACAGTTGAATATTAGAGCTTGATACTGAACTTTTTTTTGCGTGTGTGATACTGGTGGGGTTTGAACTCAGGGTCTACACCTTGAGTCACTTCAGCAGTCATTTTTTGTGTTGAATATTTTTGAGATAGGGTCTCTTGAACTATTTGCCCTGACTGGCCTCAAATGGCAATCCTGATCTCTGCCTTCTGAGTAGCTAGGATTACAGGTGTGAGTCACTGAACTTTGACAGGGCAACAGCAGATCATTCATCTCATGAACAAGTACCTGTGTACACTCTCTTCCCAGGAGACTCTGACATCTGCTGAGTCAGCTGTTTCTCCCCAGGACTGCTGGACATGGAAACATCTCCTGCAAAAAAGCTTTAGTGAGCAGCATAAATGACTTACGGCAAGAAAGCTCCACCAACCAGTGAAAACAAGTCCCTTCTTTTTTAGTCTTATATTTTAAAGTATCTGGGATGACTAACAAGATGGAAAGTTGGTAAAGAAAATCTTTTCCTTAGTGTGGTAAACAGAAAGATAAGATTTCAACATCAGAATGTACAGTCAGTTGATACAATTAAACTAGGACCCATGCAGAAGGTCGGAATTTTCTTGCTATTGGTGAAAACACTATAATTATGGAACTAAAAGTGGTTAAGATCAAAACATGTTGATAATAGTATTGTTAAAAGCAAGGGACTGGAACCACAAATAAATTAATATTTTTATGACGTAATTTCAAAGTAGTTTATTTTATATAGAAGGAACATTTCTGAGGAGTGCACAAACTGCATTTAAGAAATAAATTAAGGCTGGAGGTGTCTGTAGTTCAGGGGTAGTGCCCAGCATGCACTAAACCCTTGGATTCAATACCTGACACTGCAAAATAAAAACAAAAGAAGCTTCACCTTCACTTCTGATTTATCTTCATCTCTCAGTGATTTATAACATTTTTTTGCTGCAAATTTTTCTATACCTCAGCTTTTATGTCAGCAGTTCTTGATTTGTAAGTACAAATGCACAAGGTTATACCTGTTGCAGGCCAAGTATTCTCTTCTTATCATTTCACTGATCACTATTCCTGTTACTTACTTCTTTAACCAAGGCACACCTTTATTTTACGCAGACAGACTACATGCAATCCTATACTCTGTAGAACAGTAAAGAAGCAGAAGGCAAAGAACCAGGCAAGGACTGATTCTGTGCTACTAGATATGCACTAGTTTATTCTTTTGGGGGAGCTGACCAGGCTGGCAGGGTCTGAGTTAACTAGCAGATGCAGGTTCTAAGGTGCAGCTAACATAATCAGATTCTGACCTGAGCTTGTATCAAGAGTGAAGTAATCAAAGCTTTGAAAACTCTGCCAGCCACCCTGGAATCCTTTTCCACTGAGTTCTGCTCAGCATCTCCTCCACCAATATCTTTATTTTCCTTTGATGACAACTATAAAACCTAGTTGAAGGCAACATGTCTTATCTGCCTGTTGGGAATATGTAAGAGTTCACACTTGATTTTTCCGGAAGGAAGTGATTATGTAATATACTTGTGCTCTTCTGGCCCTGTGGCTATGACTATCCATGTGTCTATGTGCTTAGGTAGATGTTCTGACTGAAGAACCAGCTTCATGGTTGCTTGTGGTAGGCTCACTCCACTGCTGTCTTTCTATAGTATCTATCCCAAACAGCCTCCACCTATGCTCTCCACTTCCACTGCCTGCTGACTAGTGCTGGCGTAATCCACCCCCCCCACCATGAACACTGGAGAATGTTACAAATTTAAGATTGCATGTCTTGAAACCTGTTCCACAATCCTATTCTATCATCTACTAACTTGTACCTAACAGACTTCCTTCAGCTCCTCACTGGGGCTGGTCCTGGTTTCTTCTATTTTTTTCCTAAGGCAGATCCTCACTTCCCTCCCCAATACCCAATGTGTTTGACCTTGACTTCATGGAGGTCATTATGTGGGACTCACTCACTGTCCCTTCTTTCTATTTCTAGATTTTCCTACTGTTTTTGATTATACCATATAAATGATACCTTTTCTGGAGTTGGGGAAAGGAAGGTGAGAAACTATCACTCAATATACAACTCATCTCCCCCATTATTGTTTAGAAGTTAAACAGTAAAAACACACTCATCCCAGAATAGGAAATGGAGGATTCCAACTCTGTGAGCACCCCACCATTCTCTCCAGACCCCTTGCACTGCTCCTGGCTCTCAGGAAGCCCATTTCTGGCCATTCTGTCTTATCTGTCTAAGAGCAGCTGCTCAGCCCATGCCGCCATCACTTGCCCTTTTTTCTCTGCTTTAATTGTCCTTCATGGCACTTACCATTACAAAGATATCTTTTTTTTTAAATTTTTTATTAGGATATATTTGTTGTCCAGGGGGAATTCATTGTGACAATTCCAAATAGGCTTACATTATATATTGGTTAGCTCACTCCCACCATCTCCTTGCCCCACTTAAAACAACTGAAAGAGGTTTCATAATGACATTATCTTATCTGTCTCCTCCCACTAGAATGTAAGCTCACGAAAGCAAGGGCTTGTTTCATGCACTGCCAAGACTTCAGTACCTAGATCAGTGTCTGGCAGTCAGACAATAAAGTGTTTGTTAAACAAGTGAACTACTAATTCTCAACTGTACTGTTTTGCTTTCTCCTATGCTTTTGTGAACACAAAAACAAAAAAAATACAACAACAATAAAGAGTCTTGGGCTCCATCTCCTTTCAGCCATAGCTATTCTCCTTCAATCATGAGAATATATATGATACTGGAGGTAATGTATCTATTCTCTGTCTCTTACTTACCAATTTCTACTATGCTCTTTACCCCATAGAATCTTTAAATTCTATTATGAAATAACTGTCACTCAGTCAGGGGTCAGGCTGAAAGCTTAACCTTTTATCTCACTTGACTCCTCACCAGTTTTTGGAAACTAACATACCAGTATATGGATACAGAAACTGAATATATCTTTCTTGCCTTTTTGGTGGTATCAGGGTTTGAACTCAGGGTCTCTTGCTTGCTAGATAGGTGCTCTATCACTTGAGTCACACCCCCAGCCCAGAAACTGAATATTTCTTACAAAGTCACAAAGCTGGTAAGAGCTAGGTTTGAACTCAGATCTGTCTAGCACCAAAGCTATTTATTCTCAAAATGTTTTGTAATTTATCATTTACAGGTCAGTCTCCTCCAATGGCTGATGAGTAGCATATAATCCATCTCGATGTTGAGATAATTAAGACCTTTGTGACAACCTTTTGTCAATTGGGAATATCACTGTTGAGACAGTGTGCTTCCTTATTTTAATAGGAATTTACAGCATGATTGCTGTCTAGGTAGCTAAGAAAAATTTACACAGAGCACTATGCAGCACCCTAACACTTAAAAGGCCAGGCTTCTCACTTTCACAGAGTTTCCAGTGAGGAAATAAGGCTTACAGGAGCATGCAACTTTTTTAAAAGCAAAAATTATACAATAAATTTTTTAACACTGTTAAGCACTAACAAAATAGTCTTTTTCCCATGAGAAAAAATCATTAGTAAGGACTTTTATAATTTAAAAAAATACAAATTTCTTAGATATTTCCTAATCCCATACCACCTTCTTTGAAAACTGAGGCCACCAAAGACCATTAAGATTGAAAGAAAAAGCCTAAAAATGCTAAAAGAATTTCTAAATTCATCATGCAGCAAATCCTGGTCTCTGAATAATCTTCACAAAACACCAGGACTGTGGTGTATAGTCTGATCAGGGGAATTTTCAAATTTTCGTTTTTTGGGATGAGCAGAGGTGGGGGATTTCCTCAGAGACAAGAAGACAAATTACAGATCAGAGGTCTGTTTCTGGGCCTTCCATTTACTACAGGAGTGAATCTACCAGGACAATAATCCTTAATCCATCTTGGTCTTGGTTTCCTTCCTCTAGTAAGAGAGGATTAGACTGAATCAGGGTTTCCTGAAGTAAGGTCTGAACAGTTTGGGGAGTTCCCAACACTCTATTTTCATACTAATACTGAGCTGCCATTTGCCTTTTCCACTGTGCTGACAGTAATCTGATCTACCACCTCAGCTGACAGTTAACTGTCCAAGCAGCCATGTTTTTCATGGTCATACTCATATAGTAGAACAACAAAAAAAGCAATACAAAATTTTAGTTATGTTAAATCTTGATCCTCGAGTACATGCCTTTTCACTATTCTGTGTGATAAAATGATTCATACTCATAGCACAATTCTGCCACATACAGATACATAATTGCCTTGAGAAAAAGCATTCTATAAAAAGTTAGCTTCCCTCCCCATCCCTGGAATAGCATTTAAACTTTAAAGATTATCTGACAGGTGTATATTGAAATAACCTAGTCAGTTTTGGGTGTATGGCAGACATTTTCTCAAAAGTAAATGAATGAAACTGTCAGTACAAGAAAAAACTTCTGACAATATCTTCTGTCAATTATAAAAATCATCTTTCAAGAGGCAACTAGGATTCTGGAAATCTTGAACTCACAACTAGGAAGCTGAAGCTTTTGAAAATATATGCCCCTTGACTTAAGATGAGGTCATGTACCAAAAACCCATTTTGTTAAAGTGAAAACATCATTAAGTGGAAAATGCATTGAATACACCTAATCTACCAAACATTATAATGGGCTGGCAAAAGTACACTGTAGAGTGAGTACTGGTTATTTATCTCGTGAACTCATCATGGCTGACCGGGAACTGTGCTTTACATCATTAGAAAGTATCATGAGAGAGTTTCATCAGAATATCATACTACACACTGGTAGCCTGGGAAAAACTCTAAATTCAAATTAAAATGCATTTCTACTGAATGTGTAATTTCACACTAGTATGAAGTCAAAAAATTCAAAGTGGAATGACCACAGACTGGGGACTATACATACTTAAAAAGTTTTCAGATGAGATTGGTGGTTACATCAATGAATAAAAATTTTAAAAATAAAGTATAAAGAGCTACATAACTCAGTAAACTAATGTTTTCTAAATGATCAACACGTTATATATGAAGACTCATTCCAGTGTAAGATAGAACAAAATGTAACAGAATACAAAAAGTATATTGACATGATTTCAAATTTTATATTACAACTAGACTTTAAGAAGTTCCATCTGACAAGTTTTGGTATATTATCAAAAAATCCCCAATTATCTGAAAGGGCTATCAAAATAGTTCCTTCCTAGCTATAGTAAAGCTGGATTTCCTTCAAATACTTCTACATAAACAACATTCACAAACAAATTGAAAGTAGGATCAGATATGAGACTCAAAACTGTTGGAACTCGGGGAAGGAGGGAAAAGAAGAGAATGATAGAGCGTCAAAACTATCGTAAAACATA